CACGAGCCCTGCCAGGGACAGAACCGAGCACTCCCAACTTTCTATTCGGCACAACCAGCACTGTCACAGAAAAGAAACCCCCTCTGCTCCTTGCCAGACCCTCTCCAGGCATTCCCAGGATTGGAATTGGCCCATTCTTCGTGCCAGGAACTCTCACCATGTCTGTCACATCAATGGCTATCGAGGGACAGCGTCTGCAGGGAAGTGTCAGGACAGACAACCACGCAGGAGGCATCAGAACAACTTCAGGAAACACGAGCCACCAGAAAGCTCTGAGAGGCCTTGTACCAGCAAACACAAGAGTCCTGCCACGGCCACCCAAATCACTGCTTAGTTTGTTCCAGCTCAGGCACCACATGCCCTGCCCTGGCAGCTGAAAACCCTTTGGTGACAGAGAGGTTTTGGAAGGTTTTCTCTCTGCTGGTTTGTGTGTTTTCCATGTGTCCATCTGCCTTTCCCTGGGACTCACCCACCTGGAACTTGGGTCCCAACCCTCCCTTTGCTGCTTGGAAGTTTAAAAAAGGCAGGTGATTTAGCCAAGCTTACCCCATCTCCTTTGCTGAATATAACCCTGAAGGATGTGTTCCTGCATGAAATTATCCAGCAATTTTCTTGTCTTCATTTCCAGCGTTTCAAGTGTTCTTAGGGGAAGCACTGCCAGACTTCCAACATATTGTTATGGTTACCACCTGGATAAATATAACCCGGTTCTGTCTGCTCCCACCTCTCTCAGAGCCTTCCCTCCTCACTCCTTGTTCTCTCTCCTACCGAGCAGAAGTTTCTTTTCTTTATTTTCAGCACCTCCAGAGCCTTTTCCTCAACCGGTTTCCAAAATCTTCATGGCTGCTCTTCACCTTTCCTACCACCTCTCGGTTGCTCTGAAAGTGCTCATTCCAGTTCCCTACCAGAGCACAAAAAGTCTCCAGCTTGTTAAAACTTCAGTGAAACCGGGTTTTTTTGCACTTTCTGTTGCTCTGATTGAGAGAAGGTCCTTGTAACTGCTCACATATCCTCCTCCAAGGAGTAGCTCCCAAGAAGTTGACCTCAGGGCTGATCCAGTCCTACTGTTCCATTGTACATCTCCCTGCGGTCTGTTGGCAGCCTGGGATCATTTCTCTATTATTGTCTGTATTATTTGATGCAGCACCTTGCACACTTTTCTTGTCTGACAGGTAATACACACACACAGAAATACAAATTAACTTGCTATTGCCCAGCCTGAGAGACACCCTGACCATGCTCTGGTGAGTCCAGATGCTGCAAACATCTGGAGTTAGGCTGAAGAAGCAGGATTTGAGCTGTCCTGGTCCTTCTCAGTGACTTCAGTGCAGGTGGAAATGCCAAGCCCCTCGTAGCAGTGTTTTACACTTGCATTGCTGCAGAAAAATTAAACAGAAAATAACAGCAAGAGCCCAAGACTGAGAGACTCATCCAGTTCAGAGCTGGAGATTTTAAAAGCAGGTTTTCCTGTGAGATTCCCAGCAATTCAGGCTTCTAATCCTTTGAACTCTGAAGCGGCTGCATCTCTAAAAAGAAAGAAAAACTCACAACTAACAAAAATCTCCAGACTGGTTTGAAGTCCAAACACTTTGTGATTCGAGGTGGAATGAAGGTTGGGTTCAGCTCTTACTGGCTTGGATTCTTGGGTTCCACCTGCAGTTACAGCTTTGTTTGGCATCACCTGGGCCTGAGCTTTACGTGGACTGAGCTCACCTGAGCTTAGCGCAGAGCTCACCTGATCCTCACCCAGATGGAGCTCCAGCCGCTCCTGCTGACTCCCCATGCAGCCAGGAGGGCTCCTCCTCTCCTGGAAATCAGGCTGATTGTATCTGAAGAGCATCTGAACGATCAGGAGCACTCAGGCAGGACAGCCTCTCCCAAAGCACTCTCTGGAAATCACCATCTCAATGAGCTCTGCCTTCCCTTTTCCCACCTGGAACAGGTGCTTGGGGTCCTCAGGGAAGGGGGGTCACTGGGCTGGGCAGCCTTTTCTGACAGCAAGAGGGGGCTCGTTCCAGAGGGGAGAGCCCAGCAGGGAACACAGGAACATGGAATTTCTCCCTCAAAATAAGTGGAAAAGTGCAGAAATGAGGCCGGTCTTGAGACAGGAGAAAACAGACCTGGAGTTGGGAGAAGAGGGAAAATCACCAGGAGTGAATCAAAGTCTCGCTCAGGGAACATTCAAGACCTGCATTATACTGAAGTCTGTTGGAAATCGCCGGCTCAGCCACAAAATAATGCCCCCAAAAGGACTAATGGTGTTAAATCCATGGAATGAGCCACCTCTGTCCCGTTCTCTTTGCTGAGGAGGCTGAGACCCCCCCACACCTTTATTCCTCATTTCCCTGCTCAGACAGGTCTGACTCTCTGTTCACATTCGAGCCTCCCTCAATCCTACAATTCCATTGTAAAATCCCGATTCTGGGCACTGGGAAAGCAAAGCAGCTGCAAACCGGGAAGTTTCCAGTTTGTGCTTTTAGAATAACAGGAATTTTTAATCACCTCCCTACGTAAAATCGACGAGGGGGAATGTGCCTTTCCCTAAATAAGAGAAACAACCCCTACGCTGAAAAAAAGAGACTTCTCTCTGAGGGCTATTTCCATGGTAACTTGTAAATTCGGAGCTCCAGCTGTGCTGGCTGCAGAAAAAGGTAACAGGGTTGTTTGTTGTCGTTGTTAATAATGGGAAAGCATCACCGCTGTTCTGTCATAAAAAAAAAAAAAAAAAAAAAGAAGCCTGGATTGCTCCGGTTTAAAACCTCCCCAAAGCTGGCGAAGAACAAGCTTGCAAAATTTTACCCTGGCAGCTGGAAGACTAAGAAAGATGAACAGAAGGAATGAGAAGAGAAAATGATTCATGATTTAACCTCGTAGTTCCCAACCAGCATCCCAAGATATCCAGGTAGCCCTTTCGATCCTGTCAAAATTCCAAGTGGGTCACAAGTTACGTAAGTGTGTTGTTATATATTGATTTGATACACCCTTAAATATAAGCCTATACGATTTTATCCACGATTCTACGTCTGGTTAAGGGAACAGCACAGCACACAACAGCCCACGGCAAAATGAAGATGAAAGATTTTGAATTAGGAAAAAAAAAACAAAACAAAAAACAAAACCAAACACACACACACACAGAACCCTCTCATAAAAAACACCCCCACGCATTCAGACCCTGAACAGGAACTCTCCAGTTGGTTTCCAAGAGTTTATCCCTGCAAAGTGATGCGGTGAAGTCCCAAAATAACCCATGTTGTTAAAGACGTGTGTGCAGAGAAAGTCGGGAAGGGCAGCCAGGGAAGTGTTAATCGTTAATGCAATGAACACCTCCAGAAATCTCTTTGCATTTGAATCCCTGACTTAGCGGGTCTTTATACTCTTTTAACCTGGAAGATGGGAGGCAATAATTGCACCCCGTTCTCTTTCCTGAGGCACTTTTGCTCCTGCTCAACTCTGCCCAGCGCCGAGCACTCGGTAAAGCCCGGCCGAGGCTTTTCCTCAGAACAACAAAGAATTAAAGTTCATATTTAGTCCGGGCTTAATAGTGCGGCGGTTGAGCACGTGAGTAACACTAGAATTTACCTTAAGACAAATTCAGCTATGGACTTGAAGTGTCACTTCGGTGATTTGATGGCACAGGATTTTCTGGGTCGTTCCATTGGATTTATAGGATTAGGTCCCACATACTCAGCCGACCTTACACTTGCAGGGCTGATACGCAGAGGGCAAATGCACATCCCAATTTGGAAAGGTCTCTGGCTCCAAACAGAGATTTCACTTAACAATTCTGAATCCAGCGATGTCCTTACCCGTGTTTGCCAAAAAGCCAATTAAAAATGAGGCAGGAGAGGTGAGTGACTGGCAAAGGTGATGAGACTGATGTTGCTGGCAGGTTGATTTATGACTCAACCTACAAAATCGTTAATAAAGCATAAATGTGCAAGCTGTTCTCGAATATGAAACCAAAAATCAGCAGAAGGGAGATAATTCTGCACAAATGTTTCTAAAATTCGGATCACTGGACAGCTTCCCTCTACAACCACTGGCAGCACTCCTAAAAATCATGTGGGACCAGCTTTTGTGCACATTAAATATGTTTTGGAATCCTCCAGCCTCCAGACATGGATCCTATTAATGCAGACTTGGGAGAGGACTAACAAAGACCCCGAATGGTCTGGTTTTATTTTCAGTTCAAAGATGAAGAGGTCCCTGCCACTCCTGGGCTGCTGCAGCCTCTTTGTAACACCGTAGGATTTTCCCGTGTAGATGAAACTTCTGGAGAGCACAAAATAGACATTTTGTTCCCTAAAACAGGGGGTTTAACTCACGGATGGCACTGTGTGTGGGGAAAACAGAAGTGCAAAAGACCTTTTGGAATTTCCAACTCCGGAGACAGAAACTAGACCAGCTTAAAGCTTCCAAGATGATTTTTTCCTGCATTTTCAGATTAAAAACTGTTTTATATCCACGTAATTCATTATCCACGTTAAACAGGTAAAAATTATCTTGATATCAGTTTGAACCAGCTACACCTCAGAGGCTGCTGGAAGGTGGTTATCCCTGGATTTTCTTTCTGCTCCAGAAATTTTATTTCTCACTTGTGACCGCGTGTTGTCCCCAACCTCCCTCCTCTGACACTTCGGCTACTGAGGAGATCCTGAGGGAATGAAATTTTAGTGCCAGGATAGCCCTGGGCTCTCCATGACGTTTTGGTGCCAGGATAGCCCTGGGCTTTCGATATCCCGGCTCCTTGCTGCTGGCAATGCCCAGCCACTGAGCCATCCCCAGCAGGATCCTACTCCCTGCGGGAATGAGGGGGGGAAATGAGGAAGGTGGAGCTGGAGGAGCCGCAAATGGTTTTCAATTAGTGGGTCCTCCTTTGTCGCTGCAAAGAGGGGACTAGGGGCAGGTGCCGGGGGGAGATAAAACCTCCTGAAGCGGAGCTCAGGCAGCGCCCCAGAGGAGTGGGACGAAGGGGCAGGGTGTTGGCAGTGCCCAGCATGGCTCGGGGAGTGCTCTGTGCCCTGCTGCTGGCGCTGGGCTGCGCCCCGGGCCGGGCAGGGGAGTTTTGCCACGGCTGGCCGGGGGGTGCCCGGCGCTGGCACCGCGGCTTCCAGTGCCCCGAGCGCTCGGACGAGCCCTCGGCCACGCTGTGCTGCGGCTCCTGCAGCCTCCGCTACTGCTGCTCGGCCCCCGAGAGCCGCCTGGACCAGGGCCGGTGCCCCGGGGAGCCCCTGCCCAGCCCCAGGACCCCTGTGCCAGGTGAGCTTCCCGAGCCTTCCCAGGGAATGTCGGCTGGGCTTCATCCTGTGCCGCCTTCCCTCGGTGGCACCGGCCGGGTCCCTCCTTTCCTCTGTCCCCGCAGCTCCGAGCTGTCATCTCCGCGGCAGGAAGGGCTGGAGCGCCAGCACCTTTTATACCCTGGGAACAGGGAATAGTTGGGGGGTCACTCAGAAGGCTTTTCTGTCAGTCTTACTCCTAGAAAACCCCGCTAAACTGCTAACAGAGTACCCTGGGAACGCCTCTGGGGTTCCTATCCCCGTAGAACGTGTTGCTGACCTGATGTGGGTCGGACTCGATGATCTCAGAGGTCTTTTCCAGCCTAGTTGCCCGTGATTCTGGATGATTCTATGAATGCATGTGTTCTGAGTAACGTGTTTAACTCCAGTGCTGGTTTGTACCCCCCCAACCCAGCCTGGGTAGGCAGTGCAACTCCAGTTTAAGTACTAACTGTAAAACACGGGTAACTTCTCCTTTATCACACACGAGTGACCAGCAGCTGTGTCACCTGAGCTCTGGAGCAGCTCTTGCACGGATTAATGGCCGGGGTTATAGGACTGACCCTCTGCTCTTTGAGCTTTCCCAAGGGACCTGCTGTAACAATTCCCAGTGCCTGATCCCGCTGAGAGTGAAACCGCTCTGGGCTACCCCTGGTGCAAGAAATGAGAGCGGACCATGCCCTGGAATGTCCGTGGATGGGAGGTTATTAATGTCCCTTTGCCATTGCAGTGCCCGTGTACCTGCCCTTCCTCCTCGTCGGCTCCGTCTTCGTGGCATTTGTTGTTGGTGGCGCCTGCGTTGGAATTTGCTGCTGCAAATGCTTCAAATCCCGAGCTGAGGGGCAGCAAAGTGGGATTGTACCCGGCCAGACTTGGCTCCTGGAGCCCGATGTTCCTCCTGGACCCCCCAGCTGTGTCCCCAGGGGCTCCCAGGGCCGTGTCCCCCAGAGCAGCCTCTGCACGGCCCTGCCTGCACCGCTCCCTGTGCCTGGGCTGGCTCAGCCCCCTCGCTGCTTCTTCCCCCCACAGACCAGTGCACAGCTCTCACAGCCCTCCCGTGCTCTCCACGGGGTCCCGAGGGATCCCCCCTCAGTCCTGGCTCTGGCACCGTTCCTCACAAGAACAATTCCCGGACGTGGTGCTGAGGCAGCTCCTGGGGTGGCACAGGGTGAGCCGGGGATGATCCCAGCAATTCACCTCTGACTGCCCCTCCCAGCTCCCAACTGCATCTGCCTCACTGCCCTCATGGGCACTTTGGGACTCAGCTGAGGGCTTGCAAAGATTTGGTGCTGTTAGGAAGTGCATCAGTTTGTGCTCCGAAGGCACCATTTCAGAACCTATTTTAGCTTCTCGGCGTTTTTCACTTGTGTTATTTTAATGCCGCCGAAGAAGGGAAGATTCTGAGCCCTGCATACCTGCTCAGGGAACGACTGGAGCTCCAAAACTGAGTCCCACCCTCCCCTGATCCTTTCTTGCTCTGGGCGACGTGTCAGAGGACTTGTTTTCAATTCCTGCAGCTGAGGACAGGGAGGTGCCTTAGTGGGGTTATTAACTGTGGACACCAAGAGCCTGCAAAGCACAGGAGGACTGGGCTGAATCTGCACACTTGGACCAGTCAGGGGATGGTAAAACACCTCCTGTGGCTGAGCTGCTCCCGCGGGACCCTCAGTCCAGCGGTGCTGCTAAAGGAACAACTTTTAGCCCAAATTTCAGTGATGTTTACACTTTGTACAGATGCCACGTGAAAATAATAAAACAATGTATGTGTTGCTTCCTCTCTTCCAGTGGCTTAGCAGTGTTTTTTTCCTTTCTTTACATAACTGGACAGTTCCAATGGCTGAAGGATTAAAGGGGAAGGTAAGAACAAATTAAATTCCAGCCAGTTTTCTGAGGATAATGCCTGCTTTGGCTCCCTGTTGGGATGCAGGATGCCTGGCTGAACCATCCCCTTCCCAGCGGGACACTGAGAGGAAGAAGTTGTCAAAATATCCTTCTCGCTGCTGGAGTGTTTTAACACCTCCTCCCAACCCTGGATCCCGAGGGATTAGATGGGGAAGGGAGGTTAAAAGGACTCCACGGGTGTCACCAGCAGGAGCAGGGGCCAAAGCTTAAAAATCTGTCTGGAAGTAAATGCTGGAGCCTGGTTAATAGTAATGTGGTTAATAAAACTATTTTAAACCATAAAGAGGTTTGGAGACATCTTTTGTAAGTTAATAGATTTTGTATAAACAAATGCATAACCTTACACTGATTTAAGTGTATTTTACTGACTTATGGGAAAGTTACAGCTCGGTCAAGTTGTGTCTATCAAGATGAGCAGAGATCATGTAGTTAAGAAGCAATATGTATACACTACATTTCAGACACTGCTTTGCCTGCTCTCTCTATTACTCCTGCAAAACTTGGAAATTCCATTTTGATTTCCTCTCTTTTCTGTCGTGCAATCCAATGCTAAATATGAAATTCCAGCAGAGAAACTGTCCTGACACTTATTAATAGTGTAGTAGGAGAAAACACGGCTGTTCTTGCTATCAACGGGGTTTTTAAGCCCTTTGGGCAGGTGTGTCATTAGACTGGTGCTAAAACAAACAACCAAACAAACACCATGCACTCCAGGCTCTAAACTGAATTAATACTTACCAAGTAGCAGTTGTATTGTATAAAACACGAGTACAAACCCACTGCTTTTGATCGGGTTTAATTGCATTGTCCTTTGCAGAGAGGGAACCCAAGGGACAAGGGCCGTGGATGTTTGAGTTCCATGGGAATTGTAGGGAGTGGAATGTCCTCCAGGAACGCTCGTACCGAGTGCAAGGGGATACATCTGGTAACTCCCTGGACTGTTCACTCTTTCCTGCGGGTGAATCAAGAATTTCACGGAGCTCACCTGACCCAGGGCTGTGACTTTCAGTTTGCTTGGCCAGTTCCTCTTAAACTTGGAATGAAAATAAATATAAGCCTGAAAATAGATGCCCTAAAAAGAAGAGCTTCCCCCAAATACCGACTCAAGTTGTTCATTTGTTTTAGTCCTGAAAAATCCTAAATCAAGGTTTGCAGGAATATGAACCTCCAAGCGTTGTCCTTGGCACTGTCAATGGAAGGCACTGGGATTTAGAGAGAACTGCCAACACCCAGGAAAGCACCAGGAATGCTGGGTTTGCAAGTAAACTTTTAAACTTGCATTGCTGAAAGCACTTAGACAATTATACCCTTTCTATAAAGTAACTTGTTTGCAGCTGGCTTAGGAAAATCTGTGGCTGAGTGGAGAATTTATCTCATTAAATGGCCAATTTTGATAGCATACCGTGAGAAAAACTCATGCCAGTTTGGAGATAAATGGACAAAATCTTTCCTGAGGCTCTTTATTCTGGGGATTACAACTCCCATCACATATGTGTGCTTAGGAATGTATATTTTATGCTTGGTAGGCTCAGGCAGTAGAAAGGGAGAACAGGGAGGTTTATCAGTGACTCTCCTTCAGTAAATATGATTATTCTCTGCTGTAGGTTTTCTGAACTCGAAAGGTAAAGAAATATGTGACCTGACAGCCACTTAAGCCCAGGTCTGTGGTGTCACAGAGCTCCTGTGAGCTCCAAGAGATGGAAAACTCTCCAGGAAGCAGCTGCAGGATCAGGGTTTAAATTAAATAAGAAACCAGAGACAAAGCCTTGCTGATACCACAAACCAGAAAAGGGTCAAGAGGATCAGCCCTAAAGAATGAAAAGGAAAAGGGCTGATCAGAAGCAAGGAATGGAAAAGCTAAATGGTTCTGTAAGTGCCACCTTAATTACTCTCTGGTGAAGATTAGCACAGTGTTTGGAGTCAGCACATCTTCCTCTCCCCCATCTTCCTCTGGATATCCCCCAACTGGAAAACTGAGACCAAAAAATCCCCCCAAAAAGTTTTGTGTTTATTTTTTTGTGTTGTGGTTTTTTTGTTTTGTTTTTGGTTTTGGGTTTTTTTGGTGTTTTTTTTGCTTTTTGTTTTTAAGGGGTTTAACAGAGCTCACTGACAGAGTACCAGAACAACAGGATCGTCTGGATCCCTCCCCCAGTATTTTCTATACAGCTCAAACTAACGTGTGAGGCAACAAAGCCGGGTCAGGTATTCCAAGAGTTCAACATTTCTTTTCGAATCCGCCAGAGAAAACGAGAACGAATCGATTTGTTGCTCTCCGTGGGCTGCACAGACATTTTTCTAAGAAGCATTTGCTTTAACATCTTCCACCAAACCCCTCTGTAAACCGGGATTACCTCGGTCTCAATTAGCATTAAACCCGGATCAACTCGTGTGGGGCCTGAGGAAAAAGCAGTTTTTATGTAAATTTTGCCCCTTCACCAATTTGTGGGGCCTTGCTGTGGAGTTTAGCACATCTTTAGCTAGATGGGATATGTTCAGGCTAAATCCCTTTTTTCTCTCCCCTAAACTGCTTTTGCTGGTTCAAGCTAAAGCAGAACACTTAGGAGGGACTAAAGAGCCTGCTTAACACCCACTGTGCTCGGGCTGGCCTTTGTTTGCCTGGTGATGCCCGTCCCATCCCCACTTCTAATTAAGAAATTATTTACCCTCTCTGCTTCTTAAGCCTCAGTAATGACACAGGTGACGGGGATTGTTCTCGGTGTGTTCCTCCCGGATTTAGGACGAAAGGAGAGCTAAGAATTGAAAAGGTGAAGAAGCTTTAGCCCTCCAAACACCACATTACAAGGCTGGAAGAAAGGCGTCCATGTGACTTCTCCCAGCCCTGCCTGCTCATGGCATCGCTGTGCTTTCAACAGGAGGTTCATTTTCCTCACTTCAGTCTGTTCCTGATTGTTCTGAGACACCAAAATGTATGTTTGTCCAGATTTTTTTTTTGGGGGGGGGGCAGATTTAACCAAGCTAGTTTAAAGCATGACAGGTTTCTGTTGTATATAACTGTCTCCACAATATTCCTGGTTTATTCCTTTTATTTTCCCCCACAGGATCGATATCCACCACGGATCAATCCCCTGGGGGCTCGTAGAAAATTAACCCAAACCAGTTTAAAGAGCTTTTACTTCTGTTCCTATGAACGATGATGTTTTATGTACTGAATAAAAAGCAACCTCCCTTTCTGAACAGACAAATAAAGGTACAGCAAAGTCAGTCGAGGTTTTTCACCTCTTTCTCTCTGCCTCTTCCAAGGCCACACCGTATATTGGCAGAACTGAGAAGAGATTCCAACAACCCTGGCTCCATAACTTGGATGAATCCACAGTATTCATTCATTTCTTCGGCTGAGAATAACAATGGATATTTGCCTGGCATACAGTGACACATTTGCTTTCATTCAGCCTCGCTGCAGGTTTGAAATGTAAAGCCAGAGTTGTTACAAACACTGTCTGGTTTTTTCCTGTTTATGCCAAGAGTTTCCCAAAGACCTGCAACGAGGTCTTGCAACCAAGTCAATTCAACTCTGAACTAAACAAGAACCCCCTCGAGCCTTCAGGCAGAGCTCCACTGATTTGCTGCTCTTCAGTCACAGGTATTTGGGCAAATGGAGCAGAAATTATTGGAATGCAAATGCACAACCAAGCACAATTTCTGTGGGATCTCCAGGCAAGGAGAAGCACTCCTTGGATAGAAGTTATACCTTTTCCTTGGATGCTTCCAGAGGAAAATGAAGGCAGTTACACTGCGAGGTCAGAGGTGTGGTGGAAAACACTATTGATTTCTGTTGATTTCTGTTGAGTGGAAACTGGTTTGGTTTTGGTTGTATTAGATCAGTGGAAAGGACTGATTAAACACAGCCCCACACCCTGGGAAGTTCCTGCTGCAGTCCCAGTGCCTCGATCTTGGTCCATGAGGGGGAAGGAGGGGCACAGGACAAAACAAGACTGGATATGTTGAGCAGGGCAGGTTGGAGGAATTGTCCTCCCAGCCCGACACGGGAGTGAACTGAGCGAGCGCTGCAGGATGTGGAGGGGGGGGGAAGGTGCAACCTCTTGTTCCCAGTAAATGTCAGGAAATAACAATTCCTGATGTGCTCCCCTTCCCTGTTGAAGGATGCCACACATGTCTGTGACCAAGCCCCTCTTGCCTGCACCCATTTTTGGGGGTTTTAAATGAAATAAGCTCCCTTGAGCACTGGGGGAGGGTTTGACTCGCCCCAAGGAGGCTTCTCTCCTGGCTACCAGAGTATCCCAGAGCTCATTCCAAACCTCATCCCTGCTGATGAGAGCAAGCCTTGCTCCAGCAGAAATAAAGGAGAGCAGCCTGGCAGTCCTGGGTGCACGTGCAGAAAGAAACTGGGCATGTTTTTGTTTCCCTAGGGAGCATGGCATGGAGCTGCTGGAGCAGCCTGCTCACCCACAGACCTCCATGCCTTCATGGATCCATGGATTTTGCTGGAATAATGTCTTTTTTCCTCTTAAGGTCACTACTGCACTGATGTGAGGTTTCCATGTGATTCTGGTGCTATGGGACTGTCATCTCCTGTTTATCAGAAACAGGGATGGAAGGATGGGATGCCAGAGGGGTCTGTCAGGTCAGAGGCTGAGGCTTCTTCCCTGGCACTGGATTATGGCAGGATCAAAGTGATGCCTAAAAATGGGAGAAGAAACCTCCCTAAGGCATCAAACCCCAGCTCAGGGTGTCTGTGGTTGTCTCCTGTTTCACTGCTGAGTGTTTCAGTCCCTTCTTGCTCACAGTGAGTGGGTAACACGTCACGGTGCAGGACTCGTGTGAATGCATTTGAAGATGGTGTGTTTTGCAGGCAAAATTTGGGAACAATCAGGTGACTGTGAGTTTGGACCACGAGTCTGGCAGGCACTTT